AATTATCTATAAATCTTTCATCTTACCTACTTTTGATTATTTCGGCCACATAGGGGACAACTGTACCCAGGAACAGTCCATTGTACTAGAAAAATTTGCGATCAATATATGTGGTGCAGTTCGAGGAACAAGCCAAAACATGATATATGAAGAAACTAACCAAAAACCATTTAAAGAACGTATAGATATATTTCTAAACTGACAACATTTTAAAAAATGAAGAATAATCTTTCGACTCAATAGCTCTTACCTACAATACCTAATACTAATTATTATAACCTCAGTAGACATTTATCAGCGCGGACAGTTAAATGTAGACATATGCCAGATCACTTCTACCTGATACAATAAGACGATGGAATTCCCAAAGTCCTGAAATTCAAAATATTGATACCTTATCCTAAAACTCGCTATGCAGACCTAATAACACAACTATTATCTTTGACCTAAACTATGGATCAAGAATATGCCAAATTATCCATTCTCGCTTCAAGCTCCGTGTATTGATTTGGATGCCGATAGGTTTGATAGACATATCTTCGACAGCCCATCGTGTTTGTGTGGTCATCCAGTCGAAAATGCTGTACATTTATTTCTTCACATGCAATAAATGCATGGAATTATGACAAAAATACTCTTTCTATTTAAAGGGATTAGCATCAACACAGTACTATGAGGATGTGCATCGCTCACTGGCAATGATCTACACAAATTATTAAAATCTATTCCTGATTACACAATAAAATCTGATCGATTTGATGTTTCATAAATACTATTTTATTGACTGGCAAACAAACAAATCGATATTCATGCATTACCCTTATCTTGATTGTTGATAAGTAAGAATTGTGTCATCACTGTGTCATCTGTTTCAGTATTTACTTGCACATGCATTTGCATATGGGAGCGGCCTTCAAATAAGCTCCTCGGAGCTTGTTGGTCAATCCATTCATAACGCATATTTTCATGAATAAAATATGTTTAAATCAAGCATGTCAGATGTCACACAGAGAAAGAATTTTCGAAGGTATAGTGACAAGATCCCTGCCAGGCGTCAAGGTCTCCTGATCTCCTCTAATAATATAACAATAGTAATATACCCATCATAGTGGATGTGGCATGTTGTAAAACGTATTTTATGATTTGATTGCCCTAATCGGGTCAGTTCTCAATATTATCAGTTTTTTATCAAGTTTTGTGCACCCTATTATAAACTGTGAAGAACAGTCTGACATTTGCTTGCAAACAAACGGCTGCAAAGTAAGGTCACGTACAGTCCAAAGCATTGTCAGACGATATATTATTTTTGAGTTTATTCTATTTTCAGATTTCAGCGGTTGGGCAAAAGAACTGATGGGTGCACATAATGTTTTATATACTATGTTTGCACGGGGCTGTTGTCCTTCTTACTGGTGTCACCCCTAGGTACCGAAATAGTTGACAACAAGGCCGTGCAAACCATGATGCCCTGAACAAGAAGGTCTACACCCTGAACCAGAAACTGAAACACCTCTGCGCAGCGAATGAAATGACCTATGTAGACCATCCTCATTTCATGTATTCTTGGAGAGTAAGGCAGTAAGTACTTCATTGCATTGCAATTTTAGGACAGAAACAGCTGGCTTCAGATATTATCTGTGCTCTTTTGGTGGCATGTTATTCAGAAAGGAGTTGCATTCATTCAATACAGCTTGTTCAGCTTGACCTGAGCTACTCTACATATGCATGACCCGGGAGGTCAAATGGCACAAAGGACAGGTCGATTTAACTTCATTAAATAGGGGAGCAGAGAATGTTATTAATGTTGCGTTCGTGCGAAGCATGCATACATGGATTCGTTACAGAACTTGTCCCGGAAAACAACACTTCCGAAAAAACAATATTTTCATGTTTTAATTGAATTGTTTCTACAGTCATATGCTATCTAGTTTGGTTTGCTAACTTTACAACATACAGACGTCAGTTACTTTCACAATCTGATTCACTCTCGCTAGTTGCTGTTACTCGCTGCCTAAAATCCCGAACAGGAAACAGTAAACCAACTGTACCTTGTTGTTTAAAGAAAGTTAGGACATTGCTGACGATTTCTCGACACTGAGAGGTCAAACAGCGACCTTGTCGCGTCTGTTCGGACTGTTGACAATCAAATAACAAAGGTCCACCCCTTCACAATAATAGACCCAACCAGTTGTGACCGGTCACGCAATTCATTAGTATGCATTTGATCAGGTCAAGCTGAACAAGCTGTACGTACATTAATAATGTACCATAAGGTCTTGGCTCCGGTTTAATGCAGAACCATCATTTACCGTGTACTTTGCATTAAAATTGGTACCTGCTCTTCTTTCGAATAAATGGCAACAAGGCACTAATATTAATACTGGGTTACGTTGTTTCAGTTGTAACACGTTATCTTTACATGTGGCATTTTGTAACATCACAATGTGGTGTTTAGGTAGACATAATACTCATCTATGGATTTAATCAAAATTCAGATACATATGTGAGGTGTAGGTTGAGGTGAGGTGCTTTTGAGAGCCCGGGCCAAGCCACACCGAACGCTTGTGATATAGCAACTCTGTTGAGAATATAGAAAAGCGGGCTTCACTTTGAGCAACGTGTTTGCTTCAAATACTACGTTTTCGAACTTTATACAGTGACATGTAGGTAGATATAATGGTAATCTATGAACCTGGTCACATTTCATGATACATGTGTGAGGTTTAAGTTGCTTTTGACAGCCCGGGCCAAGTGGGGCAAACAGAGACTTAACACTTTTGATTGAGTCTATGTTGAAAATGGAGAGAGAAAAGGGCTGGAAAAGTTATATATAGGTAGATGTAATACCAATCTGTGAATTAAAACACAATTCAAGATACATGTGTGAGGTTTAAGCTGCTTTTGACGGCCCGAGGTATGCCGGACCGAACAATAGTGGCGGTGATTATGTTGAGAGTGTGAGGAAGAGAGATCGTTTCATTTGCAGATGGGTATGCCTTACATACAATGAATAGTGGCCTTCTAGGGTGGCATTTGATTGGATATAGGTGTAAAAAGATTTTCGGGTCGACAGAAAAGTTTATCGGGAGTGACTGAAGCATTTTTGCGTTTTAAATCCTGTTTCGTTTAACGATTCTTCTTTTAGACGTAACCTTGGTCAGCCACGTTCTGAGGCCGATAACCCCTCGATATAGTCAGACGTTGTTTTTTGTAGCCAAAAAATATTTTACAAAGCGACGTCGCGCAAGACGTCGCCTTTTTTATGCGACGTCGATCTTTTTTTTACGCGCCACGCGATGGCAATTATAGGACACCATAGATCTTGGATGGCAATGTAGCCCACTTATGGAGAGGGTCCAGAGGGTGGCCTCTGCACAGCTAATACAAAAGCACCTCTGAAAAGTCAAAAGCAATGAAGTCCTCATTTGGGGCAGATGACATCAAAGACATGTATGTGTGTGTGCATGCGTCCGTGCGTGCGTGTGTGTGTCTGTGTAAACTGAAGGGCTATGATTTAGGAAATAGACTATTTGGAAGGTTTAAAGTTTTTATATGTAACTGTGGCCAATTATATACTGCCAAATATATTAGGCCCTGAAGTTGTGTTTAACAAAACACACTGTTCTTGTCAATGTAAGAGGATTGTGTTTCGTGACATTAACAAAGACTGAATTAGATCAGTTAAAATAAAATAATGGCAAATTCTATACTGTTTCTTGCAAGTAATAGACATGTTTGGTCTGAAGATCTATGACGTATCGCATCGTATATATCGTCATAATCCGAGATGATGTTTTAGGGACACAATGTGAAGACTATTCATCGTATCAAAGTAAGGATATATCTGAAATATGGCTAAACGCGAATTGAAATTCCATCGTCGCTCATTCTTTTGAGCCTCCCACCTTCATTAATTATACGATGGTAAGCATGTTTGAACAAGATGACAACAGAAAAAGAGAACATTGTATTTGTAAATGATGAACTGATATACATGTATAATATATTTGATCTCAACATTTTCTTCGTATAAATATGTGCTTAGATTATCATTTCCAGATAATCTATGGAAACTGTTTATTTATGGTGCAAACATTGTTTGAAGATTTACAGATAACGACATTGATTAATTGTAATAAGTCTCGGGTTCTATCCCTTCAATGTCCACTAATCACTGCACTGTAAGCTGTATAGTCGATTGCCATGCTACAAGCTGATACATGTTTGGAAGGCATTTTCCCGTTCCCAGTTTAGACAATATCATTGTATCATCGACCATCTCCAACTTCAAGGCCTTGAAGCAAAGGCCTGTGGTGTGGCCTTGTGGTTAAAATGTTCGCGCGCGCCGAAGACCCGGGTTCGATTCCACACAAGGGTATAAGGTGTAAAGCCCGTTTCTGGATTTCCACATCGTGGTATTGCTAGAGTAGTGATAAAACTCACTCACTCTTAACATTGTCTTGGTCATTTCAGCCCATTTATTTGTGATGTGCGAGTGCATAATCGTTTCAAACAGAATACGTCTATAGCAGTCTTACTGATCATCTGCTGCTGTAGAAACACCTCCCAAGATTACACATCTACATACATTTTGACTTCATCGGTCGTTTCTATCCACGTACGGGGCGGTGGGGTAGCCTAATGGTTAAAGCGTTGGCTCGTCACGCCGAAGACCCGGGTTCGAATCCCCACATGGGTACAATGTGTGAAGCCCATTTCTGGTGTCCCCCACCGCGATGTTGCTGGAATATTGCTAAAAGCGGCGTAAAACGAAACTCAGTCAGTCAGTCAGTCTATCCACGTACATGTAAATCATGATTCCTCTCCGGTCGTGTTTGTGGTCGAAGGTGATGCCTTGAAGTAGTTTTGAACTTTAATGTATTCAAATACAAGAGGTCTTAGGCTGAGCCAGCCACGCCCCATCACAAAATTTCATCTTACGAATGTACGGATAACTCCTCTTCGCCTCGATCCATTGTTATTGATGAGGGAACACACAATGTATTCTTATTTTTTATTCCCATACGACCATTATCACAACTGTCAGATTTTATGTACACTTCAACACACTTAGTTATAAAAGGGATCGACGTGAAACACACTGAAAACAGTAGGTGTCGTCTTTCAAAACTACTGTAAGGAGAGTCACAACTTGCTGTCATTTCTGAAACGTGATTGAGAATCATCATAGTTATTATTTTTAGGACATGATACTACTCACTCATTTACTGTCACTGGATTTATGGAGCATTCTTCTTCCCCTTTAACCAAGACTTTGTGTAAATCTGTCACTTTGTTTAATATCATCCATGTTTCAGACAACAATACAACGGAAGGATGAACTCATTACATAGTTTGTATGCAGCATACAATCATGACACACTTTCTCCTGACATTTCCCGTTCTTAAAATGACAGACACAGTTCACTGTCACAGGTCAGCAGGAACTCGGACACTCTCAGGTCATCAGGTATGGAGGTGGTATTGCCAGCATCGTGCTTCAGGACACAGTTTGGCCTTTGACTCGCGGCCTTGACTGGACACGGACTGCACGTTGTGGCGCCAGTGTTCGGCTGATAGGTTCCCGGGGGACACGGGTAGCAGGGGTGGTACCCAGTTGTGGAAAATGTATCTGCCGTACACAGTGCTGAAATAAATGAGGCCTAACAGTACTGATTCACATACAGCAGGTCATGCAACACAGGCTGGTATCAGACAAGGGGGTAGTCTCGTCATATAATCATTTGCTTATGATCTAGATAGTGTGTGAGTGAGTTTAGTTTAACGCCACACTCAGCAATATTCCAGCAATATGGATCGAGTCTGGACCAATTTCTTCTTTTATCTGTGTTCCAATTTCTTCAGTGTTCTTCCATAACTGATCATCTTAGTTTTATAGTAGTTCTTGTGTATAATGTCGACGAGGGTGTTACATGTTTGTATCCTTAGCGGAGGTGGGGTAGCCTAGTGGTTAAAGCGTTAGCTCGTCACGCCGAAGACCGGGGTTCGATTCCCCACACGGGTACTATGTGTGAAGCCCATTTCTGGTGTCCCCCATCGTGATATTGCTGGAATATTGCTAAAAGCAGCGTAAAACTAAAACTCACTCACTCATTGTATGTAAACAGATTTACTAGAATTATCAAGTGATATATAGAAATTGCTCTCTCTTAGAATTCGAATCATGGATTTTGTGGTAATGATAACCTTGGATCATATGGCGGACGCAAATTTATTACCAAATGTTTTATTCCATTATCCGGCATCATCTATTCCACTACACACATGGGCATGTAGTGGTATTTCATAATACTGTCCTCATGTAGATCACTTGCAATGTAAATGCAAACCTATTATAAGTAAACTCACGGATACACTCAGCTCTGGCTGTAGTTCCAGTGGAGGCGGTTGTGTGTAGTTGTGGGCAGAGATGACAAGAGGTAGCACCTTGAGTGTTCTGGTAGGTGTTCATCGGACATGGATCACATTTCCCCTTCGTCCTGTCTTCGTATGTCCCCACCGAGCAGGGCACTGCAAGTCAGATGATGAAAAATACTCAAATGGAATTTATTGACCAAATATTGTGTACAATTCATTCTGTACCTATATAACCAATACCACTCCTCCTTGAAGTAGGGGCGGTGGGTTAGCCTAGTGGTTAAAGTGTTCGCTCGTCACGCCGAAGACCCGGGTTCGATTCCCCAAGTGGGTACAATGTGTGAAGCCCACGTTTGGTGTCCCCCGCCGTGATATTGCTGGAATATTGCTAGAAGCGGCGTAAAACCAAACTCACTCACTACTTGAAGTACTGCTCAATGGGTAGAGCCGGAGTCCCTCTATTCAAAGATAAGTGGAGACTGGCTGAATTATTTGAAGTTAGTTATACCTTCCTTAGGTATCTGAACATTAAAACTTATGCCAAAGTAGACTGTTAAGTAGCATGATATGTTACAGCAAAGCTCAAAGCATCAAAACCATTTCCATTAGCATCACAAAGAAACTCCGAATCTATTGTACGATTATTTCATTTTCGTGTTTATGAATCAGCGTGACACTATGTTTTGCGAGCGTGACTTACAGCCTATTGTTGAAATGAACACAGGAACCCACGTACGTAAAAGTAAGGATTGCATCGGTCCTAATTTTGATAAATGATTTTTCAAATTTGCAAATGGCCTACACATGTCAGCCATACAACTGCTCCAAAGTTAGCTAAAGCCATGGGCACCTTTATAACAGCAGACTAAGCCAAGCATTAAAGATATAGTAAACAGAAATGACAATCCCCTAATGTGGAGAAGGTATATTACGTTGTACATACCACAGATGCCGGACTTGGCGTCCATCTGGACATGACCCGGGGTACACTCCATGGCCAAACTTCCTGTGACTGCACGTGCTTTCAGCTGGGTTATCATGGGAGTCGGCGTTGGGGGAGGTAGAGATGGGAGAAAGGCGAAAGAAGGCAGTGTGTCTTTGTGAGAAAAGCTGACAAATAAAATGAAAATCAATCACTGGAGAATGTTAGCAAAATTGATGTTTATGACAGGGCCCGAATGACCTTGAAATACATGATCAAGAACATATTAATTTAGACAAACCTTTTCACTATCGACTTTCTCATACCAAAATTTGTTCTTAGTTGAGGAATTCCCGAGTAGATCCTTGGCCTGGAAAAGAAAATTGAGCGTTTATTCATTCGTTCGTTCATTCATTCATTGCCAATTGTTAATCATAGCATATTGCATTGTTGTTGGTTTCATATCAAGTTTGTTTATGGACTGATTTCCGTTTAGCTGCTTTATTAGTTTCAACTTGATAATCAACACGTAACAAAGTATATATACACTGTATACCCGCGACGTGGGAATGGAATACATATCTGGAGGCACCGTCCAAGACTGCTTGATATTAACACTCAGACAGGTCTCATTCATGACATTTGACGGTGACACAGTTCTTGACATTCCTGAAGACACTAGCATTATTTCTCCTGCCGCTGCCACTGCAACTGATTTAACCCTATGCAGAGTTTTGTTTAACTGCAAACCTTAAATTATAATTTCTGATTATATTTATTTTTCGTAGTTATTTAAAAAATTTAGTTCTGTACCGATTTCTGGGTGAAACGTTTCATTTCAGTTTCGAAATCTATTCTTAACAATGTAGTGATATAGCTCTTTCGAACGCATGAAAGCCTCCCTGAAGAATGGATCTGGCCAAACCATGTAGTATACAAACCTTAATAGTTTATTATATCTATGCTTCTAAGCAACTCCTATTCAGTAATCCCATCATCACTTTACGAAAGATGGTAAAATCACTATGCATACAAACCTTGGGGCGGGTGTAGTGAAGTGATTCGCTTTCATGTACAATTTCCTGAAAGATCAATGTTTTATAAATGCTGAAGCTATGGTTAACTATGAACGATCTCAATATGTTTCAATTAGTTAACTTGACATGTAAAATAAACACTACGCGGATACAAAGAGTAAAAAGATGGTTTGAAAATAGGTTCTAATAGACACCATGAAATGGTTTCATCATTAAACGCTACAATAATTACATCTAACCTGAGATACTTAGCATGCAATGATAACTAACCACAGCAAACAATACAATTATAGAGTACTAGATACCTCATTGCTGTGTTTGTGGACATCATGGTCTTTGATTTCTCCACAAGAGTTTGCAGCAAGCGTTTGGCTGCCTCTGGTGAAATCGTCCTACACAGAATAAATACATTCACAAACTTGACATGTATAAACATATATTACAAATACATTGGGCTTCAGATATGATACAGCATGAAATCCCTTTCCAGAAAGGTACATATGTTAGCTACCATTTTGGTCCAGACAAAGCCAATACTGGAACCCAGTGATGACAAGATTCATCCGCTTGTGAACGACTAAGCTAGTTGCATATATATTACGCCAATAAAACAAAACGTCTTGCTTTTAATTCAGGGTACAGACGAGAGTTGTTTCTGACAGTAGAGTTCCTTAAAGGTTCAATGGCAAAGAAACATAATAAATATCTAACATCACTCCGCGTTTACCTATTGGTGTTCTTCAGTCGGAATGTCATCTTTATGTGTACAAGTTGGTTTGATTTCGACACGGCTCGTCGTTTTCTCTTGAAGTCCAGGAAGCCACCTATGTCCTCCTCCTCGCCGCAGGTAACATCGACGTCATCCACTGAGCACGTCTCTTGAGCGCAGGGAGATATACCCAAGGAGTTCAGATTGAACAGGAACTGTTGCTTAATCTGGTGCAGTGTTTCGGGACTATCACAATAGCCCCAAAAGTAGTACAGTTCAGTGGGTAGAAGGTATTCATCAGGATACGCCAGATCTACAAATAGGAAATAATCCGATCATAACCATATTACGTTTGGAGGGGACAGTGACTCCAAAAATATTTTGGCACTAGAATTTGGTATGCAGCCTAAAGCCCAGGAGAATCCAAGATTTATACCGATTCTGGTCCTTTCTTTGTGAGAACAAAACATCTTCATCTTATGGTTTCATAATTTGAAACATATACACAAAACGTGTTGACTATTTACCCGAGCAGTCTGGGACAATGCTGCTTGGTTTCCACTGATCTGAGTTCAGCCCACAGACAAAGGTTGCCCCTGTGCCCTCCCCTTGCTTCACGTCAAAGCCGTCATTGCACTGGAGCTGGCACAGAGTCCCATCTAGCTGCTTGTCACATGCTAGTGCTCCGTTCTTCGGCGCAGGTAACTCTGGACAGCTCTTCTCTGAAAGGTTAGTGCATTGGTGATAACATCATGCGGCCTCAAACACCACTTATAAAGATCCTTTGAAATAAAAGCAACAAGATTACTAAGTCGAGACATGTCTAAGATGAAGCTACACAGAGACCGATCATTTAAAGGATTTGACTTTACTGCCCTCTTTGGATATCAACAGAATCGTTACAGTTTGAAACGTTAAGAAGGTAGAGGTTGTAATGCGGGTGTCAGATGAACATTTAGGTTCTTACTAAGTTCTGTCCAGTCCCAATACCTTAAAACAATTATCACCTTTTTTCTTTAGCTTTTGTTTTTAGGAAATCGTAGAATTAGATGCAAACGTACTAAAAAGGGCAGTATGTCTTCCTGGTGGTATTCCTGACAAGTAGCATCACTGTCTGTTGCTGGTGTAATAAAAAATTGTGTTATCTTAAAGATGACTTAATATTGCATTGTATTGCCATCTTCCAGCTTTCAGAACATATGTGATATGTGTTTGAAGTGCTGAGACTACTGAGGGATCCGTGAATTGTACTCACTGAAGCACCTTGGGTAATCCCCGTCGATAGGTTCCCAGTAGGAAGTATTGTCAGGATGAACACATGAAATGTAGCTACTACCTTCAACAGAGGATCCGGAGCGACAAGACAGCTGACAAACAGACTGAACTGTTAAACCATTACACGTGAACTTCATATCCGTATCATTAACCGAGGGTCGGGGGCAGTCAGTCTCTGCGGAGAAACAATACAACAATATTGTCAACGACCATTTTTTACGACTGTAATATTTGTCAACGCCAAATTTAGAATACAATTGAACAACAAAACCAATACATTAAAGCTGTCATAAAGTGTCTTGCTTGGGTTTTTAGTTTTCTGCGTTATAATGTATGTAAACATGTAAGGTTTTGTAGTGCATTTAACGGGAAAGTCTAGTCGGATAGGCGCCAGCAGCAATGGACCTCTATAACAATTCAGGAAATCGAACAACAGAAAAATATTGGCAGTGTCAATACCTCAACGATATCTTTCGCCTCAACTAAAGTAACTGAACAGCATAATCAATACAATGCAGCTACTGTATACCGACGCAAACTGCTGGACAAAAGACAATATATACCATTGTTTGATGGAAGCCAAACATGAAGAAACAAGAAGCGGTCACTCAACAGAGGTGTAATTTGGTATGGGCATGATATGTGAGAACTTTTACCTCAAATTTGCTTCAACAATATTCAACCATGAAACATCATGAAGACGATTCCGTTTGTCAAATCCAAAATATATAAGTGTATATCTCTTTTGCCCGGTAGTTCAGTATGATGTGTATTGTTTGATAGAACACTGCACTTCAGGTGCCGGAAGAAATAGGCTTTCTTCAAACCTTCTAACGCCGTCGATATCAACATCAAGCAAGGGGCACCGACGGCTAGAAAGGATAAAGGGATTGCCTTTGTAGGAGACAATTTATTCTCAAAGATGGGACGCTGTCCTAAAGCCTCATAATTCAACTGTGACCTAGGTCTTATTTTTAGTGACTTACGTTTGAGCTCCACTGTAAACACACATGAGGCCGTGTTGCCCGCATCGTCAGAGGCGACATAGTTCAAGATGTGAAGACCAACAGTCAACAAAGATCCTGGCGGTTCTCCTTGAACCTGCTTCACAACCACCTTCCCTGAATTATCAGTCGCCTTCAGCGGCGTCCAACGGAATCTTTCATCGATGGTGTTGATTTTCTTAGCAGGGCAGTTTGTGAAAATTGGCTTGACCGTGTCTGAAAGTTATTGTATTGTACACGTAGATGTCAGGGAGTGATTTTACATGCCTTTTGTGGTGTTCTTATCATAACGGAATAAAGAGTTGATTATCTATTATCCATTTCGTATTATCTGCAGTTGTGAACATTGAAAACAATGGTGCTAAGCCAAGACAACTTTAAGTGTGTAGTGTTTAAATAGTCCCGCTGTTACAAAACGAAACTGATATTGTTTTATCGGAAAAAGGTATACATGTATCGTTATTTATTTGAGTATCATATGAACCATGTTTTGCTTATCATCTTCTGTAGTACTGTCCAGTAATCTAGATATTCTTGAAAGTTTATGGCTGTGTTTAGCATACCTTCACATTTCCAGGAAGTTTGGCTCCATTTCCTGTTGGCGGTACAAATGGCGTTAGCACCCCTGCTGGGGGAATACCCTGTGTGGCAGAGGAGTGCGCATACACTCTGGTATCTGTTGCCATCTGTGCAGCGGACAGACTTTCCATGGGCGGGCACAGCAGGTTTACTGCACTGGATTTCTGGAAAGCAGATGATTCTTCGTCAAAGCATACACTTCTTTCAGACAGACTATAAATGATACACATAAACGCTCTTATAGAAGAAAAACATAAGCTGACGGACTTAAATGAGAATAGTCCATTTGATTGTATTGCTACAAGGATGAAACTTTGCATGGTGATAGTCACATGTTCCTGTCAATCGTGTTCATCCCATGGATGTTGTAAGGGGTTTGGATCCAGAGATTTGGGGACCAGAGCAAGAGATTGTTTGAATCATGAAGGACGTCATCAGTGACACAAGGTGTGTATCGTGTAGAGTTGTCATGTTGTCAGCCCTCTGTCGGATGATAATGGGAAGAAGGTGACGTCGAAACATTTGGACGATATACCTGTGACATTCATCTGAACCTCCACCACCACCACCAAGGCATACATTCGTGAACAGGGTATCGCTCTCCACACAATCACACTTCCATCATCTGTAGACCTGCCAAACGCAGTTTGGTGTTTCACGTTTATTTCTACGCCAGTAGTACGCTCTTCCAGCTTGGCGTTGGAGAAAAATAGCGATTCATCACTGAACCAGATACGCCACTTTCTCCAGACTCCACGCCATAGTGTTGCTCCATCTTATACGTCGTCGATGCAAAAGTCACAATACAGGGACAAGTACCATTCTTCTGGGGCTAATTCCCACTTTGCACACAACTTCAGATTGTTTGGTTCGATACATGATCGAGGCTGCTGTCATGGTGGCAGTAGCATGTTGAAGCCATGGAAGAACGACCCGGATGAAGCGTGGTTTGGGTTCTTGGTCGACCACTTCTCGGACTATCACGGGATGAAGTTTGTATGCCGATCCCATAAACGTGATAAAGTGCTCCTGTGTACACTGCAGTGAAACTGCAGACTTGGGCAGCTTCAAGACGTTGGCAGCATTCAGACTCGATATTTGACCAATTCTAATAAGCCGTGAAACGTATAACAAAATGTTGACTCACGTATGACCTTTTATAGTCATTGTCATTGCACGTGATTGTCACAACTTTCGCGCGCAGTCTCCTGTCATTTCTATGATATTTTCGTGTAGTATAAAACTACGAAACATTAAAATGGTTGTGTTTGTGCACTTAACGGAAATGGGACTTCTCATTATATGCTATGCATTTCTGGTTTTGAAAAGTTAAACGTGTACATGATGGTGTAATGTATTTAATGAAACACATTGGGTGATAAAGGTAAATAATTGTCGATCCTACGTAAAAAAACAGTGCACGAGAATTTACAATCAGGTTGAATATCCACTGAATATATGAGCATCTGTTGTGAAGAAATTCTGTGACATTTTGAAATATTTTGGTATATAACAAGCACAGAGTTTGGTGTACGCTACAAGTTCATACAGAGAAAACAGAGTTTGACAATCTCCAGGAGAGACATACTTTGACATGTTGGTCGTTTTGGAGTATATGTTCCGCTTCTTTGACATGTGAGAGTCGCTGCCCCCGTCAGCGAGTATCCCGGGTTACATCTATGGGTACATGTGCTGCCATACACTCTTCCAAGCGTCCCCGAGCAGTGAATATTCCCATTGGCTATGCTGGGCAGCGCAGGACAGCGAATTACTGAGAAAAAAAATCCCGGACAGTTACAAAAAGGAGAGATGTTTTGTTGATGAAATACAAAACAGTGCATAGAGTTAGTTTTCAAGTAAGCTGTGGAGTGCAAAATGGTTTCCTCATATTCAGTGGTGACACTGAGTTATTGCGTGATACAACTGTTATACAAATACAATGAACACAAATTATTCAACTTGAATGTCTGGAATTGGGCCCGTAAGTAGGTCACGACACTTCGCAAGAGCTTATTACTTCCGGTGACATACGACGTGCCATACCTTTTCGATTGGTCCAATTGTTGTCAGTTGATAGTAAGAAACCGATAATTCTTGCAGGAATAACAAATTTCCGATCTAACCCTATCAAAATTAGCCAACTAATACGGCTGTCATCAGCTGTGACATCCAAGCCTGGTGGTATACTTGGTCAGGTCTGGTAAAGTAATATTTGTCGGTCACGCAATTTTGAACCAGAACTGGCTCTTGAATATACGCTTGTCACTGGAAATCTGGTACCTGAAGTAAGCTGGGCCCCGTCTCGCATATTGCAAGTTGGCGCGCTCAAAGGGCCGGGAACCAGCTTAGTACCGGAACCAGCTTAGTACCGGAAGTAGCGTGTCGTGAGAGTTACAGGCCTAATACATGTCTGTTCTGTTGAATGTTTAAAACAACTATCTGACGGAAGTGATTCCATTAGGAGTAAATGCAAAGGACAGGATCTGTGAAAATCAGTGCAGGCCCTGCCGGTAGCACCTGTCACTTACACATGTTACAGTGTGTTGCCTGTACAACAGCAATTCGAACAATCAAGTGGTTAACCATAATTCCACTCATACGATGAAGAATTTATTGCTTCTGTTGAAACTAAAAACGATTTGTCGAATGTCGAAAAAAACACAATTTCATTCGAGGCCTTTGTAGAACTCATCATACCAACCCTGAACATTGAATGACACCACACATGTAGCACTGAGACCCCAACGGTCGGTCGTTTTGTAGCTGACTGTATGGCGCCCGGCCCCGAACCTACTGCCTGGTCCCTTGCCACTGGTTAAACGGGTACTGAACGGAAGAAAGTCACCAGGATATAAGAAGGAGATACAAGCTAACCGGGGAGGGTGTTAGAGGTGCTCTACATTGATGGGAAAGAGTTGGTATACCTTTAAAACGATGGGTGAAAGGGTGTGATTTAGTTTTACGCAACACTCAGCATTATTCCAGCCATATGGCGGCGGTCTGTAAATAATCGAGTCTGGACCAGATAATCCAGTGATCAACAGCATGAGCATCGATCTACGCAATTGGGATACGATGATATGTGTGAACCAAGTCATCAAGCCTGACAATCTGATCCCGTTAGTCGCCCCTTTCGACAAGCATGGGTTACTGAAGATCAATTCACGGATAGGGAAAGGGTGAAGTTACTATCAAATGAGATGAGACAAAGTATGCATTTATTCCAGAGGTAGGTGAAAATAGATAAAACACTATCGCTTAGCAAATGGATCAGGGAAACATTTTAAAATCTAAAGACGGATTACTGAACGTGAGTACACAACAGGTGAATCAGAAGGAAACTATCACTAACGACACGACGTTGTTCTCTCTGTCTTTGACACTGGGGCCGACCCATCTGACGACGGCTTCTGACGTCCTGGACCCAGCAACAATAGTACTGGGTATTCGAGGACAAGTTATCGAAGGAGGAGTGTTGACTGAAAGGTATCACAGAAAAGGTAAAATACGTGTTATATTTAGTTACACAGGTTACTCGAAGCCGTTTGTTAACGTTAGCAGTCATTGATAGGATTACAATGTACATAATGTGTGTAAAATCATCAGATGAAAGAGTGAGTGAGTTTAAGTTTTACGCCGCACTCAGCAATATTCCAGTTATATGGTGGTCTCGACCAGACAATCCTCTGTAAGTAATCGAGTCTGGACCAGACAATCCAGTGATCAACGGCATGAACATCAATCTACACATTTGTGATACGATGACATGTAAGTAATCCAAGACAAGTCTGTGATACGATGACATGTGCCAACCAAGTCAGCGAGCTTGACCATCTGATTAGGTTAGTCGCCTCTTACGACAAGCATGGTTTACTGAAGACCAAGTCAGCGAGCTTGACCATCTGATTAGGTTAGTCGCCTCTTACGACAAGCATGGTTTACTGAAGATCTATTCTAACCCGGATCTTCACGAATCATCAAATAAAAGAAAATATAGTAATGACCCAGTGTTACTGGAATCAGACATTGGAAAGCTGTTTCTTACCATAGCCATCCAATAATCAACATATACGTATGAAAAGTATAACTTTAAATTACTTGATAAATGGCAACTTACAGACAACCTACGACGTAAGGCCATCCGTGAATACGTTTTTCTCGTTTCTAAGAAGCTCTGTTAAGCCACATTCACTCGTAAAACATAAAACCGTATATATACACAAAGACCTTAGTTAAGCACCCCTGACATATCTCACGATTGAATGAGCTCCGATCTTAACCCTTTGGAGCATATCGGGGACATGATTGGTCGTTGTGTGCAGCAAAGGGATACTCCTGTTCAGAACCTGGCCCAACTGGGAGCTGCTTTACACGTGGAATGGCGTAGACTGGCCCTTCTGAGGATCAGGAGGATGCCAGGGAGAGTGCTGGCTGTCATACAGTCACATAGAGGTTACACTCGGTACTGGCCTTGAATCGTGTAAGACACGCAAAGTGACATTTGAATGTTCACATTCACCAATAAGTTCAACATTAAACATTTCATGGCCATACTTGTACGGGCATGGTTTTGTATGATAATCAGTGGGGCTTTTTTGTTTAGTTTTTTTTTATAAATGAGCAATTATCATCATAAAATCAACATTGATGCCAATAATTCTGTCCTTTTTTATGAGTCAAAGGATCATACGGGTCAGAAAAACTCATGTTTTTCCATTGTGGTCACAACGAGAAGTTTATGTCCATGTTGAAAACCTATCATTGCAAATTACAGGGGTACTTAATTAAGTTCTTTGTGTATATATTTACATGATATGTCAAAGCAAAAGAAATCTTACATAGTTTAACAAAGTGATTAGGTCTCCGCTTGAAGAAGGAACCAAGCCGTCTGATATGGTCGTGAGGGACACGTGCTATCTTTTTAACACTTTTGAATATTTTCTTAAAAAATCCTCGTTTGTGCCTTTCTGAAGGACCATTGTTTACACATCCAGTTCCCAGCCACTCTCCCCCTTGACAAACGTAACAGGAGTCTTTCCGTTCAGATACACATACTGTTTGCTCCGGAACATGATCTGCTGCTATCTCTCCTCGAGTGAAGCATTGTGACATTTTCCCTGGAAATGTGTTGACCATGCAGGCACTCTGTGTCTTGGTGATGGAAACAACAATGGAATCACATCGTTAGTATATACGAAAGCCTAATTGAATCACTTCGGTAGCATTAATTACTTTTCTTAAACCCTTTTGTCTCGTACTTTTAATTATTTGCTTACCTTTTTAGTGTTTTGTTTGTCTCTACTTCGATTCTGTTTCGCAATGTGTTGATAATGTGTACATAATTTAACAGTTCGCTTTCCCAACAAATGGAAACAGCCTAAAGTACACCCAAAGAAATCCACTGAACAACATATGGACATATCAGTGTAATGTAACACAATTCCTTTCTACAATATTTAAAGGAAAAGGTTTTGTCGTTTCTATTTACATAACTCAGTTCAATTTTGTAATGTAAACAGAGAATGTACAGGGGCGTAGGAACAGGGGGGGCTTTTACAAGATGCAACTATATCTACCTTACCATAACTACAATTTC